TGGGCGGTCCCAATTGAGAGAAACATTCGATTGGATGATATTGGTCAGAGAAATAAGAGGAGTTACTTAGACTGCTTAAAAAAAATTTATCATATATACATCAGTCAGTATTGAGTGTTAAATTGGATAACGTGATTACATTGTTGTAAGAACCAATAAGATTTTACGTAGTACGAAATTTGAACATTAAAATTTAGTTTTTGCATAATAGAAAATTCTTTCGCTGCTTTCATTGAAAATAAGTTCCTTTTTTTGTAAAAAAGGATTAACATTTTTGCATGGGCGGTACCAAATGAGAGAAGCATTCGATTGGATGATATTGGTCAGAGAAATAAGAGGAGTTACTTAGATTGTTTAAAAAAAAATTTATCATACATCAGTCAGTATTGAGTGTTAAATTGGATAACGTGATTACGTTATTGTGGGAACCAATCAGATTTTACGTGGTGTGGGCTTTGACCATTAAAACTTGCAAAGGCATTTTTAACAAGGATCAAGATTTATTGGTGTAATAGAAACTCTGCTTCAACTTTTTTATCCATTAAAATTCCATTTCATCAATTAATTTCTTTTCCTCTTCTTTGCTTGAAGATAAGTTCTTAAAAAGATTAGCATTTTTCCATGGACAGTTCCAAAAGAGAGAAGAATTCGATTGGATAATATTTATCAAAGAAATACTTAGATTCCATAAAAAAAACATTTTTATCAGTATTTAGTGTTAAATTGGATAACGTGATTACATTGTTGTGGGAACCAATCAGATTTTACGTAGTGCGGGCTTTGACCATTAAAACTTTCAAAGGGCGTTTTTAACAAGGGTCAAAATTTATTGGTGTAATAGAAACTCTACCTCGGCTGCTTCAACTTTTTTATCCATTAAAGTTTCTCTCTTCTCCACTTGAAGATAAGTTCTTTTTTGTAAAAAAAGGATTAACATTTTGCTTGGTTCATTATATACATGTGGTAAAAATGGGTTGATCACTTGACTCAATTAGATGACTTTTTGATGCAATTAGTTGAGTCATATAAATAATTGAGTCAAAGCATCAGGATCTTAAAAATTAAATTTACATTGTGTTGATTTGCGTTTATCAGCTACATTCTATTGTACTACTTTTAAATTGAGTTGTACAATTTTAAATATCAATTAATATCACGTTGTTAAATGAAATTAGTTTTACAACGCAAATTATAGTAGTAAGTTTAAAGTTTAATATACTTTAAAATTTTTAAAACCTTTTTTTTATTCATTTCAAACTAAAATTCACCTTTAATATATTATTTACTGTATAAGAAACAAAATCATGGAAATTGCGGAAGTCGTGAGAGTCATGGAAGTCATGGAGGTATGGAATTCATGGAAGTTACAAAAGTTGGTAGAGGTCGTGGTAAAAGTCATGAAATAATGAAGATACCAATTCTGTTCAAGGTGACCACGCTTCATTTTTCTCGGAAATAATTTTTTACTTAACTGGCTGGCTTATGAGGAATCTTGTATGCATTGCTGGATTAATCTTTTTCTTTAGTTTGATCGAAGAAAATGGAGACAAATCATTCAATGGTTGATATAGTTACTAATCATCTCGCCTCTTTAAGTGATAATTCTGTAGAAATCATTCACAGCATTATTTGATGACATACGGCTAAGTTTTTCACTGCACAACAACTGAAAAAGGAGGCACGTTTTATTTTTTAGTATTAAAAGGATAATACTTTTCAACAACATTTCATAGATTCTGTTAATAATGATGTTAGTCCTGTTTCCCTCGTAAAAGCAATTTGATTAATGAGAAATCTATCTTTTAGGTGGGTTTCCTTTGTGCCTGATATCCTTTGGAAAAGATTCTATGAAACATCCATATACACTGAAGCAATTGCACATGCTTTCCCGAAAGTGTGCTGTATTGCTTTTAGATG